GGGGTCCATAGGAACGGAGTAACTCCTTTGATTGTCCGACAGGTACATGTCTAGGGGTAAAGCAAAGAAACAGTGAAAGCATATGGAAATAGAGATTGTCTCCTTTATGTCTTAAGGCAGGGCATTGGTCCCTTGGAAGGGAGGTGGAAGGATGCCATATCATTATAGTGACGTGTGCCAATATTTCATAAACTCAAGGTTGGATCTGTGGGAAGACTGTTTTCCCTTCAGGAGAAACACAATAGGAACAGGGATCCTTTGTTCAATTTGAAACATTGGATGAAACATAATTATTCAGTTATTGCTTCAACATCTGGCATTTCTACTGACCAAGCAGATCTTAGCAAAGGCAATGTTATTTTGTTTACCTCAGCTTTCTCGTAGCTGATCACTATTAGCTAGGCCTCTGGTCTCCAGACCAAACTCTGGACTTTGGGTCTGGAAAAGAGCTGGCATAATTCATATACCAGGTTGTTTATATAACATGCACATGGATTTTAACCCTTCAGTCTTACCTTCCTGGTTCACTCAAGAAACCTTCCCCAGGCAATCTTGTTTCACTTAATGCTGCTATATCGATGTTACAACGGACTAGTTCTCGAGCAATGAGAGCTGTCCTTCTCTCAGGTCTTGCAACAGCTTCTCGATCCATGAGGGTACGAATATTCCATACACCAATAGTAAGTTTTTGGAAATTTTTCTTTTGATTTCGGCCACAGATTGGGTGGAACTGCCAGCTGCAGCTTGCTGGCCAGTTGTTGTAGGGCAGGAAATTTTTAGGCCACCTTTTCTAGGTCCCTCCATTACTAGGGTGAGCAGTGCTGTCCTGAAGAGGGCTGCTCAGATGCCTGGAATGCTGCCGGGCAACTCTGCTGCCCCAAGTACAGAGCTGGATGACCACCTATCCACAGACCGCCTGCGTGCAGGATTGGGACTACGACTCCCAGTGGTAACCTCCACCTGTTGCTTTGCCCCTCCCCCATTGCCGCAGGACTTGGGTGGTATGCTGATAATGTTTGATGATTTGCACAGGACCTGTGCGTGAAAGCTTTTTAAGCTCCCATCAGCTTAGAGCATCTTCATTAGCACGCTACAGCAGTGCAGGTGCATTGGTGCAGCTGTGCCACTGCAGCATTTTGAATGTAGACTTGCCTAAGAGTAAGACCAGACTGGCTCCATTTGGCACCTTGGATGGTAAGACACCACACTGACTGCTGTGCAGTTCTCTAAGTGTGTCCATGGCTGAACTGCAAGAATTCCTGCCCATTTCCCTTCTGGCTGGAGCATGATTGGAGTGTGTTTCTGGTTGATGACATTGCTGTAGATTGTTCATTCCCTGCCTTGGCAATTCAGACAGTCCCTTTTCTCATCGTATCTCCAGCACATCAGTGATTCCAATAGCAGGGGCAGGTTTTCTCTGGGGCACTGAGATTTTTCGGGGAGTTGGTGGCTCCTTTTTTCCCTCACCCTGGAGTGAACCTAAGTTTTTATTCCATTGTTCATGTTTCATGGAACAACAGCCGCATGAAGAAAGAGGAGAGCGAATATCTCACTGTCACAGCTGAAGATGGCCACGTGCCCTCTGTCTGACCATTGCTATTGGAGGAGAGAAGGTTTCCATGGAATGGAATGCCCTGGCTCAGACTAGAGACACAGGGAGGTTTGCTGCTCATGGAAATTGGTTTTCTGGAGGAAGGAAACAAAACGCCCATACGGTGACACAATGCCCTGTGCAAAGGAAATTGTTTCTCTGTGTGAAAATGAGGAGGGAAATGAACTGTCCACATGTTGGCACCTAAGTCATAAGGGAACCCTATAGGATTAGAATAGGATAAGTTCTCAAGCAGCATGTTTCTTACTTTGCCCATCTGTCAATTTTGATTATTATTGATGTAATTTTTTTGCCCTCGGTTTGTGTGTTTACACAGAAATTGACATTTACCAACAAACATAATTCTTCCAAGTCTGCAGTTGGTGGGTTCAGAGGGACACATTCACTCTTCCCAGTCCCATGCTGCCCACTTCCCATACTGCTGCAATCCTTCCCTCATCTGCCCCCAGACCACTGCCCCCCACTCCCACTTCTGGGATCACATCCTAACACTGTCCAACTCCCCTGCTGGCACCAGCAGGATCCCTCCCCGTTCATTTCATTTCCTGCCTCCCCTCTGAGCTAAAGCTCTGCACTAATCCCACACCAGGAATTGAACCCCAGCAACCTAAGTGAAAAAACATGAATCCTGACCACTAGATATATGGGACTGTTATTACTGCAGCCCTCTAAGCCAACCCCTCATGACAGCAGAAGCGCTGCCTACTGGGGATTGCACACAGTGCTGCATTAACCCTTCAGGTGCTGAGGTTTTCCCTCTTTCCATTCCAGTGCCTGTGATCAGGAAACAGAGATTGGGGCTCCCAGGTTCTGCACAGACCATGACTAAGATTGGACCCCATATTGCACTAGGTGCTGTACAAACCCTGGCCAACATTGGGACACCCACAGGGGTTCCCCTCAATTTCCCTTAGCCTCTGCTGCCCAACTTCTTTTGACTTCCTCTGGTACAACCCCCCGCCCCCCCCGCAAGCAAGCAGTCCTTCTTTTTTTTGCTCCCATCTTGTTTCCCCGCTGCCCAGGTAGGCAGAGATGCAGGCAACTTCATCCACTGGAGACAGCCCCAGCGAGCGCTGCACCCCGCCCCCGGGTAGTATTTGCAAGACACAGGAAGGGAGCAGCTGGGAGCGGTGGCTGCTGGGAAGAAGGAGGCAGGAGCCGGGAGAACAAAACCCAGGGGTGGGGGGCAGCTCCTGGGGGTGGGGTCTGGCACAGACCGAACTCTGCTGTTGCCTTGTGTGATTCGGGAGCCCGGGCTGGTCAGCTGCTGCTCCCCGGGGTCTGTGCGGGGGAGATCTCGTCATTAAAGCTCCTTCCCTGCCACGCCGGGCGAGCTGGGACGTTCTCCAGGGGAGCCAGCCTCCTAGAGCCCCGGACTCTGTCACCATCAGCTCCGGCGCCAGAGACTCCAGGTGAGAGACCCCGGGGGAAGTGCGGGGGAGGGGCAGGAAAGTGACTCTCTGCCCAAGGGATCCGCAGCGGTTGCAGCCCCCGGGGATCTGCTCCCTGGTTGTACATGTGCTGCCAGCAGCCCTGGAGCTGCCTGAGTGATAGCGGAGCTGCTGTTCTCCGCTGCAGCCAGGATCTGCCCCAGGCACCGCTGAGATTCAGGTGGGGACAGAGAATGGGGCCCGGGAAGGGAACGGAGGGGAGAAGCCGGAGTTGCAGAGAGGGGAAGGGCAGTGGGACACGTGGGGGATTGAACGTGCTCTGTGCAGCTAGGAAAATCCAGGGGGAGAAGTGTGTGTGAGTCGGGGGGTGAGATATTGTATCCTTTTACTGTTCGTGCCACTTCCCTCTCAAATACTGAAACAATTCTCTCTAGTTCTTTCCCTTTTCTCTCCCCTTACCACATATGGCTATAAAATCTAAGGAGATTCCCTCGTTTTCCCTAAAACTGACTCTATTCTCTTATTTTGCCCAATTTCCTCTGTAATTCTCAAATTGCCATTTAAATTCTCCTCACATTTGGGATGTTAACCCAACCCATTTTATCTGAAGCAATTTGTCCTTGTTTAGGTGGGAATTTGCTGTCCTGTGTCATTCCCCCAAAGTGGGTGGTAGTTAGTAGGTGCTGTTTGGGGGAGCCCACAGACATGGCTGCCTCTGGGGTGGAGATGGGGTGGCCGTTCTCTGCCAGAAACAGGGCATGGCTGAACAGAAGGGAAAGGGAGGAGCCAGTGTCCCCATGGAGCCAGCACAGACCCTTTGGTTCTGCTCCTTTAAAACATTTTGTTCAGAGACTTTATTACTGGGGAGGCTGAAAAATCTCTCTGTGGGCTTAGCCTGGCAGGAGGGGCCAGGTCTACCTGTAATAAAGAGATCATGCATGTTTCCAGCATGGCAGAATCTGGGATGTGTCTCTGCAGGGAAAGATCCTGGGGGAATCCTGAGGTGAAATTAACTAAAGCCTGTTCTGAAACCTCCACAGTTGCCCTTCTCGCCCTGCCAGGCTGCAGGATGACGTCCATGTTTTGCTCCACCTCATCATATCCTCTCATGGGACAGGAAAGAGAAATGGCTGCAGTGGAGCCAGTTCAGGTAGGGATTATAAGGGGGCGGGGGGTGTTGCTGGTGGATTCCTGATGGAGGGAGAGGGACAGCAAATACACAGGAGGTGGGAGGTTTGGGCAGTCTGGTTTGGAGGTTGGAGTATGCCAAAAAATTCACAGGGTGGAGAATGGGAGGAGGCCAGGGTGTAGCAAACCCGTTGGGACTTGTTTAATATGTGGCTTACATTCTAGTGAAGGGACCCATGAGGTTAGAAGGTGGAAATGCCCTAATTTGTGGAACGGGAAACAACCCACCTAGGTGGGACTAGGAAAATGGACCAGAATCCCAGTGCTGGAGCCTGACCTGATTAACCAGCGGCTGCTATGAGATATAGAGGGGGCACCCACCAGTAAGGCTTAGGGAGGGGTTTTTAACCTTTTTCTTTCTAAGGCCCCTCAATGTGATATAAAAACTCAACTGCATGGTTTTCTGCATATAAAGGCCAGGGTTGGAAACCAGGGCAATTGCCTGGGGGCCCATGTGACAGGGCCCCCTGCAAAACTAATTGTTCAAGCTTTGGCTTCAGCCACTGGTGGCAGGGCTCATGGCCTCAGGCTTCGGTCCCAGGCAGTGAGGTCTGTGCTTTCTGCCCTGGGCCCAAGCGAGTCTAACACTGCTCTACTTGAAAGACTCCCTGAAACCTGCTCGCAGTCCCTCAGAGGTCCAGGGACCCCTGGTTGAGAACCATTCCTTTAGGGGATATGACCCTCCTCCATATCCAGCTCCAGAGCTGGCCTTAGAGAAAATGGTGCCTTGGATGAACTTGTATTTTGGTGCCCCCCATCCCCCTGGCCCTCACGGGCTCCCCACCACCATGTCCAGACCCCAATCGCTCCCTCTAGTCCTTAATTTGTATTGAAAGAAGTGCCAGAGCTCAGCCGTAGCACACATTCAGCACTGGTGGGGCGGCCTCATAGCAGCAGCTGCTGGCCGAACACCCAGCTCTGAAGGCAATGCCACCGCCAGCAGCAGCGCAGAAGTAAAGGTGGCCTGGTATATGGTGTATTGTGTAGCCTTTTATTTTATTTAAAGTGCATTTTGTAATGTGGTATTACACCACCGTCTGTTCCTCTCTGGTGGCTACAGTGTGAAACTTAACAGAGTGAAAGTAGCCTCTGCTACTTGCTTCAAATGTAGTCTCTAGGAACACATAAAGACCAAAGGTAGTGACCACACAGACATTCACAAGTACAAGGTCTAGTCGGTTTTACAAGTTTTATTAAAGTTATAATTTAAATTATGACTACCCAAGCATATAGAAATTCTATAAAGACTTTTGCAAAAGTTACAAAACTAGATCTACTCACATCTTTAACAATACTATTAGGGTCTGATGAGTCTCTCATGGATTGATCATCAGTAGAGGGATGGTTCCTGCTTGAATTTCCCACAGGGAGCTCAATTTTCCTGCTCTGGGCACCCCCTTTTTATAATGTGATGCTGATTTTACCTCATTAGCATTGACACACCACCTGTATTCTGTGGTTAAAGCACATTTGAAAACAGGTGACTTTACAGAATTTTTTTATTGAAAATTAATCTTCCAGCTAATTTTTCACTCTGTTACCACTTGACACCTCTTTTCTCATAATCTTAGGGTATCGTGTTATTCCTCAGTCATTTAATTATATCAGCATTTCTTAGCTCCAAGGCCTAAAACAGCTAAGCTAAAATCCTGCAGGTCTCAGCCTACAGGCCTGGCGTTTCAACCCTATTTACTTAGATACCTAATATGTGATTATTCTCGCTACATACCGATCAATCTATTCTCTATTTAGCATATGATGATTCTATATGACATAATGTGTTAGTTATTTATAACACCACACAATAAATGAACGAACGGTAAACTAAAATCATTGGCTGCCATTCCCACCCTTACTTCTACACTGCTGCTGTGTCTCGTGGTGCCCGGCGTTCGGCCTGCAGCTCAAAACGGGCTTTGCGCTCTCACACGCATTTTGCTGGAGCCCCAGATATCCTGCAGCCCTGTGGCCGCTCCTGGCTCCCCAGGGGCCATTTCAGATTTTGGGGAGGAGGGCAACTTTAACTGTGATTCCAGGGGCTATGGAGGCACCTAAAAACTGTAGGGTTTTTTGCAGAAAATAACTTAGAAATTCACTGATGAGCACTGTATCTAATTGTCATATAAAGAAAGATCAATCTATACTGACTCCAATTACAGCCACATATTAAATTTAAAAGTAAATTTAGAACAATCAGGAGCGAAAACAGCAAGATATTCCCTATCCCAAACCTTGAAGTATCAGTTCTGGAGCTTTGATGCAGGTATCAGAAACACAAGTTTGATACTTTGCACCCTGTCTTTAGTAGAGAGAAATAAAACTAGAGAAAGTAAGGTCAGAGAAAGTAAGCAGATTTTACTTAACAGACACACTCTGTGTTATTGCCATTATCTCCTCTGTTTTAGTCAATTGTTTTTCACTCCACTGAAAACATAATCACGTATATAAAATTAAGTAAATATGTTTTTTTCTCTTTTATTAAGAACGGGAATTTATTTTTCTAGTTATTTTGGCATTTATGTTTACTGATCACAATCATGTATGTGACTCACTACAATTTTATTCCATCATTGCTATTAGTATCATACTTGGAAGTGCATTTATTTTCATAGACATTGTAAGTTACTTTCCAGATATAACTATATCATGAAGTTTGGGGGAGACAGGGCCCTGCACCTCCCGCACTTCCTGCAATTCACTGTGACTCTCAGTCAGCCAGTAAAACAGAAGGTTTATTAGACAACAGGAACACAGTCCAAAACAGAGTTTGTAGGTATAGACAGCAGGACCCCTTGGTCAGGTTCATCTTGAGGGGGTAGGGAGCCAGACCCGGGTTCTGGCCTCCCTCCATTTCCCAGCCAGCTCCAAACTGAAAAGCCCCCTCGAGCCGTCACCTCCAGCCACACCCCAGCTCCTCCTCCAGCCTTTGTCCAGTTTCCCCAGGCCGAAGGTGTCCCTGGCCCCATCCCCATCTGGGCTCAGGTTACATGCTCAGCTATCATCCCTCAAGTGAAGTCACACCTTGATATCCCATCACCAATGTAGACAGTACCAGTAAAATTCCCCCGCAACATCCCCAGGTCAATCCTCCCCACTCCCTACTTCCTCACAAACTAAGGCCTCAGCTACACTTGGGAATTCACAGCCGGGGCAGCGCTGGGAAGCACAAGTGTAGTCGCACCACCAGCGCTGCGAGAGCTCTCTTGCTACACTGTATGTACTCCACCTCTCCGAGGGGAGTAGCTTGCAGCACTGCGAACGAGCGTGCAATACTGCAGGCGTTGATTACACTGGCGCTTTACAGTGCTGCACTCGCTGCACTTGGGGGGGCGTTTTCACACCCCTGAGTGCAGCAAGTTGCAGGGCTGTACAGCACCAGTGTAGCCAAGGCCTAAAAATCCAATTTGAAGATAAGTGATATGCATCTGCAGTGTCTGAAGTTTTGAGTTTACCTAATTTTTTTTAAAACAAGCACTGCTGAGGCAAGTACATGCAAAATTTACATTCTATTATTTGATAGTACCGTTTTAAATATTGAATGACAAAGCACAATACGGCAATGACAGTAATAATGATAATTACTCCAGCCGGGCCAGGTTAGACATTGTAGAACTCATTACTCAAAGAATTGAATTTAAGCATAAGACAGAAATAAAATTATGCAAAGCACAGACCAGTTTAGGTGTGGTTAGGCTAGGTGTGGATGGAAATCGACGCTAATAGCTCCGGGAGCTATCCCACAGTGCACCACTCTGTTGACGCTCTGAACAGCAGTCCGAGCTCGGATGCTCTGACCAGCCACACAGGAAAAGCCCCGGGAAAATTTGAATTTGAATTCCTTTTCCTGTCTGGGCAGTTTGAATCTCATTTCCTGTCTGGACATCGTGGCGAGCTCAGCAGCACTGGCAAAGATGCAGAGCTCTCCAGCAGTGATGGCCGTGCAATCTCAGAATAGAAAGAGGGCCCCAGCATGGACTGATCGGGAAGTCTTGGATCTCATCGCTGTGTGGGGCGATGAGTCCGTGCTTTCCGAGCTGCGCTCCAAGAAACGGAATGCAAAGATCTACGAGAAGATCTCTAAAGACATGTGTGACAATGCAGTTCTGGTGGAACCCAACTGAGAGTGCCAACTCAGGACAAATTGCTCAAATAGGGCAGTTACAGCCCAAGGCTGGGGTTTTTTCCACCTCTAA